TGAAGTTACTATCCCCTCATCACAGGTAGGAAGTGAGCAGGTAGAGTCAAGGTGTAGAACCACACTCTTTGGTAGAAGAGGCATTGCCTGGCTGTCCCAGTAAAGCCAGAGACAGAACTGGGGACTGACTGAGCAGTGACCCAAACCAGCAACTTGTGGGCAGAGCTCAGCATCTCTTGTGACAGAAACACCCCTTTTCTAGGGCCTTGGGAACCAGCCTTCTGGGTGACAAGTGGAGCAACCAGTGAAGGAAGGTGGCATGTCTTTCTCCCCTAGTGTTGGGGGTCAAACTACCTCCCTGCCCACCTGGAGATGAGTGGTGTTTATTAGGAAGCTAAGCTGGCTTGGAACCCCCTTGTTTATGGCACTTCCTCCAGAACTCTGTTGAGCATTCATGTGGGACAGAGCTGGCAGTAACATGGCATATGAGAAGAAAACTTTTTGCAGTTAAGGGCTAGAACATTGCTCCACTGGGAGAACAAGGCCTCACTCTACTGTGCCCATTAATTCTGTGTCATGCACCCAGGACCAACTGGGCATTTAAACCTACCACTTCAGTTGAGTGAGACTTGTAGCAGTGAAAGGGTGAAGAAACCAGCTGGGCAAGACAAGGTGGTGAGAACAAAAGAAGACAGGAGAGAGGAAAGGAGGCTAAAGTAAATCTCAAACCATTTCAGGACATCACTTATAGGGGAGACTTTTGGGAAGCCCTTTTATGTGCTTACTCCATGACGCAGGGCAGATAGATCCACTTTTGCCTGAATCCTGCTCTGAAGCAAATAGCATGGGGTCGATGCATCGGGATCATTGTAGGCCCTATACACCATACTGACAGGTGCCACGTATGTGACTCAGATTCAGTGCCATCGTGGCTGCCAATTGTGAGAAACGACCGATGCCTGGGATAATCCAAGGATGGGCCAAAACAACCAACAGGTTCTAAATTTCACCGCACTTCCCCTTCCTGACCTCTAACAATGCCTCCCCATTCTCCTAAGGTTACAAGACTACTGAGAAAGAATGGGGGGAGGCGATTCTGTAACCCAACTTTTGATGATTCCTGGCCAGTGTCTTTCACCCACTCCTTTTCAGGAGGAGATGGGGTTGCTCTGCTTGAGCCAACCAGTTAACAGTAATGGCCAAGAGTGAGTGAGGCAGTAATGAGAGATGTAGGAAGTATGACGCAAGCTTGGGGAGGTCAGCAGAAATGACAAAAAGCAAGGAAGGATTCTTTTGCCCTAGAAAAGGATGGAAGCTTCAGACTGAGGACGAGGACACCACTTCGGGTGGTGGAAGGATAGATTAAATGAAGATGGGCAAAAACGGGGCTGAAAGAGGGCGAGAGTGGGAGAATAGTCGCTCTGTTCCAAGTGTCACCCAGTAAAAGGTAAAGTCAGGCTTCCTTTTACAACACCCGAAGTCAGTGGGTCCCCCTGCCCCTTAGATTCCCCATTTCAGCACTGCTCCATTAGCCGCCATACCCTCCTCCTAGGGACCCTGAAATCGAATATTTACCTTTCCACCAACTAAAAACACCAGGGAGACTTGTAATATTAGTCACATTGAATGGCTCATTTGTGGGAAGCTAGCTCCCATGTGCCAGGACCTTACAAGGCAAAGGGAACCAACCTCAAGAAAGTGGCCCTGAGACTAAGTCTACCTTCTGCTCTGCTCTGTAGGGGGAAAGGACACAGCTGTGGGATTGCAATCTTTCTCCACACCTTAGGCTATGGTTACCATGAGTCCATCCTTGGAGGGAGGGATGGGAAGATCGTGGGTTTGTTTTCTCTCCATCTTCAGGCCTTATTTGAGCATGCAGCCGTATCCCAGGACGAGATGCAAGATGGCACCACAGACTCAGCTGAGTCAGATGAGCCAGAATGGAGCAGAGACATTCCTGTGCCTCAGGCATCCGTTCAGTGCTAGTCTTGGCCATCGGGTTTTTAAAAAAGAGAATAAGTTCAAGAGGCATTTGCAACTTGTACTTCTCTCTAGACTTTAGTTTTTTTGTTGTGTCACTACAATGTGTTCTGGGACAAAGCCATAAGAAGAGCATACATACTTAAGTCTGCTGTACATATAAGACAGGACGACGATACGCGTCTGTGTTAAAGCACGACCTTATGCCCAAGCAATTGCTCTGGTGCTGAATAACGCAAACTACTGGAATCAGCCGTCATTCCCACCCCCACGCCCATCCCAGCTCCAAACCCACTCCTGCTCCCAAATGGAACACGGCATTCCCAATGTTTATAAATAAAGAAATGAAGAATTGCACTTCTGCTTGTTGTGTTTTTTTAAAATTTACTCAACGTGGCAAAACACACATGTAGCAGCTATCCTGGCTCTGCCCAGCTGTGTCCCCAGCACTTAAGGATGGGACTCCATGCTATGTGACATGGGGCAGAGCCTTGGAGTTGTCAAAGGGCCCACACCTGACTTAAAAACTAGCTGGGAACAAACGCACCTGGAGGAGAGGTCACTTGGGGAGCCCAGTCAGGACCCTGAATTGTACACTCACTTGCTAACTTGCTTTGTGACCTTGGCCAAACCATTTAACTTCTCTGACCTCAGTGTCTGCTTCTGTAGAATGAGAGGTCGGAGGAAATGGTTTTGAAAGCCTCCTGTGATTGCAAAGGTCTCTAAATTTATGAGGCAGCCTGCGTTGTTCCTAAGCTTCTCCAGCTACGATGCTGTCACTGAGAGACCATGAAGAAGTGCTTACCTCTCACTGAGTGGGAACCTGGAGAGGTGGTCAGCCAAGCCCCTGGAGCCTCCATAACTGCCAGCATCGATGGCTAGTTTCACTCTTCAACTGCTATAAGTTCTTGGGCTCCACTCACCTTTCTTATACCTGACAAATGGTTTTCACCTGTACTGAAATGTGGGTGAGCAGCCATTTTGACTACTTTTCCATCTTTGGGGAAAAGCTTTGATCAGCTGGAAGCTGATAGATGGTGGTGGAGGCACTAAATCAGGATCCCAAATGTCAACAATTAAGGCAGATGCCAATGTTCTGACAATTGCGTACATGCCCTCCACTAGCTGAATTTAGGAGCTTCTATTAACTCCATCTGGTGAGGGTTAGTTATTTGAAATGACAACAGTTCTAACACTGGCCGTGGCTCCAGAAGAATAAAGCCAGGCCTGCAGTCAGCAAGGGAATTGATTTAGAAACAGAACACCTGTTATTTATAGACCATATTACTTGGCTTTGCCACACAGATCAAACACATTCTTGACAGACTGTATTTAGAGTAGCAGTTACAGGTTTCTTCTTAAGAAATGTTTTCAAGGGACAATTGGTTCTATAGCATAACAAAACTCATGTTTAAGAACTCTGATATCTGCTCCAAAGATAATTAGCCTTTGTTAATAAATACAACCCCTGGGATAAAAAGGTACGCTCAAAAATGTTTACACACGCAAAAACCACATAGAGGACTCTCGTATTGGAGTTGTCATTGGCTATTGGAGTTGAATGTTTAGGTGACTTCTCCAGGAATTTAGCAGGAGCTAGTAGATAAAAACACAGCCACGAGATGCTTTTCAGACAAAGGGTGACAGTTCATAAGCACGAAAGTATATCCAGTGATCCAACTATTTAATAAACCATCGAGTAAAAACCAATAAATACCAGCAAAATCTGAAAATATCGGTAAGAGCATAAATATCTGTAGGTGCTAATTGATCGTTATTTAAGGCCCTTCTGCACTGCCATAAGTTATATTCTAGAAAAATCTCAGCTGCAGTTAACCAGATGTGGGAAACTCGAGGAGAATGTTCAGAGTAAGGTTGGTTTGTATTGTCGCCTATAAGCAATTTTTATTCTCTTCACCTTCATTATCTTTCTTGCAGGCTGAGGAAAGGAATTGATCTACAAGGCTATTCATAAAAGCAGCGTTCTGATGGAGAGATTAGACATAACTAAAATATTTGATATATAACCTTCCATTTTTAAAGAATTAATGAATCTATCTCTGAGTTAGGATATTTTACCCTTTCCACAGGGACCTCTTCAACTTATACTTGCAAATGAACTTGCCACTCTAAAAGTTCCAAGTTCAAAGAAAATCTGTCATCTTCTGCCATGCACGTGGCAGGACATGAGTCATTGGATAGCTTGAGGAGATAACCAGTCTTTCTTGTCTGGTAATCATGTTTCACTGGACAGATGTTGACAAGATGCCATTTACTAGTCTGACCACAAATCAACACGAACACAGCTAAAGAATTGATTGTTTTTGTACTGGTTTCTAGATCTGGTACCCAGTGATTAATGATAGATGAAAGACGTTGGATTGGTGTGTATTAGTTTCCTGTTGCTATAAAAAATTTAGTGGCTTAAAAGAACACATATTTATTGTTTTACAGTTCTGGAGGTCAGAAGTCCAAAATGGATCTTTAAAGTGCAAGCGGATTATGTTCTTGTCTAGAGGTACTGGGAGAGAATCCATTTTCTTGCCTTTTCCAGCTTCTAGAAGCTGCCTGTATTCCTTAGCTCATGGCCACCCCTTCTATCTTCAGAGCCAGTAACGGCCAGCTCAGCCTTTCTCACATCACATCACTCCAACACTCCTGCCTCTTCTACTCGTGATTACATTGAGCCCACCCGGATAATTCAAGAAACCCTATTTAAGTTCATCAGCAACATCAATTACTTCTTGCCGTGTAATACAACATATTCCCAGGTTCTGAGGATTAGGATGTGGACATCTTGCGGGGGTGGGGGGGGCATTACTCTGTCTACCATGAAATGCCTGAAGACAGTGGTCAGAAACCTTTGAGCTTTTTCCCAGATCCTGACAGAGTCGAAGAACAGTAACTCTGATGCAGATAGATTCGTGTCCTCTTTTAAACATTCCTACATCTACTTGTGATAAACCCGCTTAAATGTTTCTTTCTAGTCTTAACAC